CCCCCCTGCCACGCCAGCCTGCGAGAAGAGGCCTTCTCCTCCTCCCAACCCACAACCCCCTGCCCTCCCGGTTACCTCTCAGGCTACGTCTACACTACCCGTTTTCTCGACAAAAAAATATGCTAATGAGGGACTCATTTGCATGAGTCACAATCTCATTTGCCTATTTTCTGCCAATCCATTTTTGCGCTAGGGGTTTTTGTGCAAAAACAAGCAATGTGGATGTTTCCGTATGCCCAATCCAATCTTGCGGAAAAAGGGGGTTTTGCACAAAAAGAAAACATCCATACTGCTTGTTTTTGTGCAAAAACCCCTAATGCAAAAACAGATTGGCAGGAAATATGCAAATGAGATCGAGACTCATGCAAATGAGTCCCTCATTAGCATACTTTTTGCCAAGAAAACGTGTTAGTGTAGATGTAGCCTCAGTGACAACACGTGCCACAATTCTCCCTTGCTCCCAGCTTCCCAGCCCTCGCCCCACTCAGGAGGGTCACCGGGCGCCCCACGCCACGTGCGGTCTCTGACCTGGGTGTGCACGATGACTCGAATGACCTTGCAGTACTTCTTCATGGCCGCAAAATCCTTCTCCAGCTGCTTCTTCCCGTCCTTGTCCTGCCACTTTTTGCAGTACTTGGTGAAGGCCTTCTTCTTGCTCTTGTGCCTACGGAGAGGAGCCCGTTAATGATGCTGGAGACGGGAACAACGACGCCCAGAATTGCCAAACCGCACTACAATGTGCGTGGCGGGGCTGCTTCAGTGCTGCTGGAACCACCACGCACCCAGGGCTCACTGCCCCCAGCCGAGGCGAGCAAGCGCCATAGACATCAGACCAGTAGAGGGAGCTCAGAGGAGAAAACAGTGAAAGGGCAGCAATGGGCCAACAGAACTTGATATTCTGGCAGAATTTTATATGGAGAATCAGAGAATCAAAGAACTGGAAGGGCCCTCGAGAGGTCATCGAGTCCAGTCCCCTGCCCTCACGGCAGAACCAAGCACTGGCTAGATCATCCCTGATAGATGCCTATTTATCTGATATAGAGGCAGCAAGGAGGGGGGGAATGCGAGTAGTCAATTTGACTACCTGATAAGCCTAGGCTTATCGGGTAGATGACTATTCGACTGCTCTTTTACATCCCTACACCAGGGCCAGGCAATCATTTTTTAAGGGGTGGGGGGGGCCACTTCACAAATTCCAGAAGTGGTTGTGGGCTACCCCAGAAGGAGCAGGGCCTCGGGCAAAAATGGGGTGGTCTTTAAATAGCAGGAGCTGAAAGGGCGCACGCCTCCCCAGCAGCTCCCAGGTGATGTGTTAGCAGCGAAGCCAGGAGCTTTGAGCCCATTCAACTCCTACTATTTAAAGGGCTCGCACCTTTCTGGCAGCTCCCAAGCATTAGCAGTGAGGCTGGGAGCTGCTGGGAGCTGGATGAAAGTGCTCAGTGAGCCAGATCCGGCCCGCCCACGGCCTCTTGCCCAGGCCTGGCTTACGCTCACGTACAACTGGAATTACTCTGTCGATTCCAATGGAGTTACTTTGGTGAATCGGTTCCAATGATGAGCAGAATCAGGCCCCACCTCCACGGTATTTAATTAACCTGCGGAACTCATTGCCGCATCATGGAGCCCAATAACGCTGCACGATTCTTAAACTAATTAGAAATGTGTGTGTGCACATGCGTATTCACAGTCGCCAGAACTGTCGTGTCGCACAGCGGTGCACAATTAAATAGCTGCTGCCTCTTGCCCCAGAGGTGGCTGCCAATGGGCGAAGGGTTCCAAAGTGGAGAGCCTTCTGCGGCTAATGTTGGGGAGGGGGGGAGCAGACATTCTAGAACAGCAACGCTGCTCCAGCGCCCCGTAAACTCACGCGCCAAGAGAGTCTTACCAGTTCTTGTAGAAGCGGCGTCTGCATTCATCACTGAGGTGCTCAGCAAAAATGGTCTTGAAATTTCTCAGGCCCCTGGGGGTCTCTATGTATCCCACAATCCCAACCACCACTAGAGGGGGAGTCTCCACTATCGTCACTGCTTCCACCTCTTCCCTCTTGGACACCTCTGAAAGCAAAGGGAGGAGCAGCAAATTCAATGGGAGTCTCATCGACTCATCGACTTTAAGGTCAGCAGGGACCATTCTGATCATCTAGTCTGACCCCCTGCACAGTGCAGGCCACAGAATCTCACCCACCCCTCCTAGAATAATCCTCCCACCTATGTCTCAGATATTGAAGTCCTCAAATAGTTTGAAGACCCCAAGATGCAGAGAATCCTCCAGCTGTGATCTGTACCCCATGCTACAGAGGAAGGCGAAAAACCTCCAGGGCCTCTGCCAATCTACCCTGGAGGAAAATTCCTTCCCGACCCCAAATATGGCGATCAGCTAAACCCTGAGCATGTGGGCAGGACTCACCAGCCAGACACCCAGAAAGTTCTCTGGAGTCGACTGTGCTCTGCAGCAACCAGCACCAGGTTCTTGCAGGGCCGGGAAGCCACGAGTAGCCAGAACTTCTCAATGAATGCGGTGCCCGATGCACCTCCAACGACATCATGTCCCGGCAAAGCCGCGGCGTAGCGAGGGTGTTATGCACCCAGGGGCAAAGGCAAAATTTGTGCCCTACAATCATTTGTTGCAGGAGCATTTTGCAGTCGGTAATTTCACTGTTGCTCCTCCACCAGTCCTTTCCGCCCCCCAGCAGTGCACGCCCGTGCCTGTCCCGCTTGCCGGGACACCTCACTGCCCACCCGCGTGGGGGGAGGGGAGGAGTATTGGTGTCTAGATCCCGTCCTCGGAGTCTCCTCTGCAACTTCTTTCCCCGGTGCGGGCCAAGCCCCTCCTGCCGTTGGCGCCCAGCATGAGCCACCATATAACTGGCGCGAGGAGGGTGGGAGGTGGGGGGAGGGGAGGGATCCTGGTGGGTGCCGCTTTTTAAAGGGGGCGCAGGACCGTCCGCAACCGGAGAAAGCTGGTTGCATGCGAGCCGTGTGCGTGCGAGGTCCCAGGAGCCAGGGTGTAAGTGGGAGGAGGAGGAGGGGAGCATGCAGCAGCACTTGCCAGGGCTGTTCCCACTTTCCACCCCCCTCCTATCCCTCTTCGGCCTGCAGCGTGCGGCGCAATGAGCCACCTGCAGACAGCTGCCACCGAGCGGGTGGAAGGCAGCAGAGACTTGGGGGCCCAGCAGCTGGAGCAAACTCCACAACATCACTTTTGGCAAATAAATCGGAAGTCCCCAGTGTTGCACCCAGGAGCAACTCCTGCCGCCCCCCCCCCCCCAC